CCCCCCCAAAGCAAAAAAGTGCCATTATTACTATGAAAGCGAATAATATTATGGAAACGTAAGCTGGTTTACCAGTAAAGATTACAGTACTGCATAAATGGTAATTCTAACCAGCTTAAGCCGATTCGAAATATTGAGTTACAGAAACTTTCTGAGTGGCCCAAGAAAACAATAAAGTTACTGAGAACATAAATTACAAATGAAGAAACAACCTTTCCCAGTGCGTTACCAAAGTTACAGTCTTGCATAACTGGTAATTCTAACCAGTAAGGATAAACATTTCGAAATGGTTGGTGCAACTGACGCATTGCTTCGTCATAAAAGTGCTTCGAAAAAAATGTTTTCTTACATAAGTGATAATTGACTGATAATAATTGATAAAGATCAGTATTGAGATTATTATTCGAAAGAACTGCATTATTTTTGTAAGTAATCGTTTAAAATATTGAATTAACCACAGAAGTCAAGACTAGAAACAATTATACCTGATTTTCGTGAGTTGAGACGTTACAAAAATTCATCAGTCTTGATATTTTAAAGGCAAAATGACAGCTGAATCAACTGAAAGAAATCTGCAGTTTAGATAAGTAGTAATATTCAAACCGAAAAACAAAGACAGAGGCAGTATGCCAAGAAATCTCTGATTTTCGTGAGAGGACCCAAGATTTTCATTGCATTTCAATAACTCCGTGAGAAGTTTCACTGTTAGTACTTTCACATAGTTTGACGTAGATTACTGATTACGGTAAAAGAGTTCGATCCATAGGAGGTGACAGTTTTGAGGTGTTGACAAGAAACGGTGCTAGGACATTGAAGAAACTGGGTAATACCTGTTTGCAAAGGAAAGCAAAATCAAGGACCGAATGGAAACGCATTGTGGCCAGCAACGTTACAAACGTTTGATAGCCTGGCCAATCCAGGTAAATACATACATAATTGAAAAATGTATATTTAGAACTGCTGTACTCATGACGCGGAATTTCGAAATATTTTCTGTTAAAAGCGATCAAAACGGAAATCTTCCTCAGTGAAAGTGTTTCCAAATAATTCTATCGACTTAAACATTTGAAATTCAAACTAAGCAAATAGGCGATTTCACTGATCTCATGCGTTTAAAATTACTGATGAATATCGTTCGAATCACAAATCATGGACAACTAAAGCTTTTTTTGAGAACTGATATCTAAACCGCATTATGTCTCGAGTAAAAGTTTTGTTCGTACAGGGAAGTTGCATGAATCCTAGATAACGGCCGCAGTCATCCATCGCATGTTTATGATCTGAATGTTATTTAATACAACGACACTTATCCAACCGATGAATCAAGCCTTGATCGTCACTTTTCAAGCATTCTATCTTCGAACAACTTTTCAAATAGTACCAGCATTGGATGATGGAATATACTCAGCATCACATGGTTTTTCTAGAAATCATACAGTATTCTTGATTGCATCAAAAATGTTTTCTTGCCATGGAATAATTTTACTTTAATTGTTACTTGTTATTCGGACACTGAGCAGTTGGTTTGTCAAAAACGTCACGATTATTTACCGGATTGCTATTCGGCTATGTTTAGTTATTTATATCAACAAGTACTTACTATTACTCGGTTGTGGAATCCCGATCGCTATCAATCTGTCCGACAACATTAAGTAAAGTTGTTGTTTATTATTGATCCCGAAAAACTATTGCTTCATTACTGTTGGCTGGTTCAAACAGCTACTTTGGGCGATTATTGCACGCACGTTCAGCCGATCAAACGAAATGTATTGTCGGACTCATTTTGAGTCCCTCTCCTTAAAAATCATTGGGCAATATGGCAGAGTAGCCCAAAATCTCTGTAATCGCCCATTCAATAATCGAAACGCCAATTCAATAAGTTAGATTTCATGAAGACAAATGATTCTGCATACTAATGATGTAGCTGCGCGGAAAGAAATACATCAAGGAAGGAAAAATGTGATATTCGTAATAACAAAGAGGCATAAACTCGTAGAGCTGTAATTGCTGTTAAGATAAAGGAATGTCACTGTACGATGCATGAGTTGGGAGTAAAAGATTTTATAGTGCCTTATGAATAATTCGGATAAAATAGGAACTGAATAAGATGGAACTGAAACTAAAAAATTCGTGGAACTGAATAAAAAAATAAACTGATTAATGGAACTGACAACTCAATTCTGGAATTCGTGAATCGCCTGGATTGAGAATGTAGTGTAGTGTAAACGTTATTGAAGAACTCCTTGAAGTTGAAACGGCGTAACTTTTGAACGAAGACTGAAGTTATTCAACAAAACAGATGAAGAGGCAGAATAAAACGGGAACGAAATTGAAAACAGCTGCATTTAAAGGGTTTCCCAAACTTTTGGGAAAATGAATAAAAATATTATGGAGAGGTTTGTAAAATTCGATAAACACTCCCAACATGCTGTGTAATTTTATAAAAAATTCATGAAAAGAAGAAGAAAAAAGGTTCTCAATCAAAAATCAGCATGTTTTTCAAAGAGAAACCGAAGGTCAGAAATGAGAGGCCTCTGAAAATGATAAACCCAATAATTCACAATTAAGTCGCAGCAAAGTTATGAAAACTCATACACACATTCTCTTACTTCAGTTTGTTTCATATGAATGAATTCGTTATATTTATGTAATAGAAAAATTTTTTGTTAAATATTCATTATATATCCATAAAATAACGTGAAATTTATGCGATATTCATGAGTTATTTCAAAACTGAAAACTTCAAATGTCATTTTAATCAACAATATAATGTGCCATTCTTGTTGTCATTGTATCTAAACAAGACCAATCATGGTTTGGAGTTCAAAAACTTTTATTTAATGTAGGTTTTCAATATAAGTTAATATCATTATCTGTTGTTATTGTCAAACTGCCGATGCATGATCATTCGTATTCAAAAATTTATCAGTAGAATGGATTGCATCATCATATCAATATACCGTATGGTATGCTTTATAAAGTTTATTTACATTAACATTAAAATCGTGTCGTTCAAACATTATTCAAACAAAGTTGAAAGCGTTCAAATGTTTATACATAAAGATATTACTAATGAGCAATTCCACATAAAAACATGCTTATTTATGCTTAAGATAGAAGTGCGAATGATTTGTGGTAGTTCACAATTGTGGTCAGATTTACGATGTAGATAACGTATTTCCAAGTTCCATGTAGAAAATAATTAATAAACATATGAAAATGAAAATTATTCTCAAAATAACAAACAGTCAATGGCTGACAGCTTTTATTGTAGATAAGATACTTTTTGCAGAAGAATATATTTCCTTTTGCAGACATTATTTTGAAATTTGTCACAAAAATGAGTATAGATAACATTTTTCCAAGTTAAGATAGCAATCAATCGCAAACATTATTCTTTTTCCGTAGATAACTTTATTAATTCCAGAAAAAAAAAGAAAAAACCACATTGTTTATCGAGAAAATAACATGAGACTGAAGTGCCTTTCATTCAGTAAGGCACATCAGTCGCATCAATTTTCCGATGAATTCAAAATTCAGCCCCTTTTTCATTTAATGATTTTTGAGAGACGCAACCCCCTTCTCGAATAACTTCTCTCCTATTACTCTGTTTATGTAGATTAATTTCATACGCTTTCTTCGCGAACAAATGCTAATGTGTTTAAGTACTGATTTCTTGACATTGCTGTTAAGAAGCAATTTCCATAAGTCACCCGTTCTATTCGCTCATTTATGGGGCTTTGTATTCGACATAACTTTTCGTGGTGTATTGATTTTTCAAACAAACGATTGCTCTGAATTCACCACTGAGATTTAAATTTAGTGCCAAAAAATCAATTATCTAACAAATGTGTCTTACATAAGGTACAATACTCAATTATTTCTTGAAAAGAGTACCTCATACTCATTATAAGCACGTGGTTACTTTTATTTCTATTTCTACAGTCTGCAAACGCTTTGGACCATTTTCTCTTCTGATGAGTGAGTCAGGGATCAAGTGACCAATCACTGAAAAATGCAGGTAAGTTGGAGATCAAGCTAGGTTGCAGTTCCCTGAGGGTGTTTATTTTATATCTGTTCCGCTTTCCGTCCGCGCAAGTGAAGTGAACAGCCGAGATTTATTTGCGAAATACAAACGTGAGGGATCTACGGAATTTTGTTTCCGAAAAATCGAAAGTGTTCATGTTTTTGCTTCACTTGTTCCTAATTTGTTCAGCAGATTCCATTTCCATAACCATTCCTCGTCAACAGTTCTGATATGTCTCAGGTAAAAAGAAGTTGGACTCTGCGCAGCCTACATGTGAACGTTTTCACTAGTTTTATTGATGGGTAACTTAAACCAACATGATATATTCTTCCAGAATGTGATCACAAGAAGGGATCGGCGATGGACCAGATGTAATCGCCTCCGATGAAGACGGGAGGGATGTGAATGAAACGGATCATTCCCATGAAGGACAAAAGTCGTCCTAGGACAAGAGAGACATGTGTAAGATAGTCCATACCTCTTTCCTATTCCAGAAATTTGATGACAACGAAGTGTAACAATTTAGTTAGACAATTAGCGATCGTATTACTCATTTATGAAAGAAGTAATGCGAAATATCAATTTAACAAACAAAAAGAAATTGATATAATCATACGACTAAATTCAAAGATGTTGAATGAAAAATTTTTCAGTTGTTGAACAGATCTTTGTTAAATTGTCATCCTTCCCAAGAAGAAATGAAATTGATAAGTTTTGTGTGGAAAAACATGTTGAATTCCGCTTCTCTTCGGGTGAGAATATGTGACATTTGTTTATTTGCTTTGTGGCAATGAGGAAGTTATCAGTAGAAAGAAAATGATCTCTAATTAATTGTTATCCGCAATTTGAAAAAATGTTTGCATTCAGCTTCTATCTGCTAATTAAAGGACATTCATTATTGTCTGCAAAAAGTTACATCTTATCCATTAACATTTGTTTTGCCATAAACATAAATAGAGTCAAACAATGAATCAAAGAATATCCACCTAACTTGATGCGTTTACTGAGCAGTTGTTGTATTTGCGAATACCCTTTCACACAAAACTTAGTCTCCGTTCCATTTTAACAAATCGAATGAACGAAGTTATCCTCCCGAATATTCTATTCTCATTTACACATCCAAGAAGGATAAGTATACGTATAAATCACTTCCCACAACTAATAATCAACATTTCATAATTACCCCAAAACGTTTCGCTTTAAGCATTGTATTTTACTGTGTGCTGCTTTATCGTTGATTATATAAACAATTGATCAAAACAACCATATCATAGCACTGGACAGTCGAAGAGAGGACGAAAATGAATACATATTATGAAGTGATTTAAGGAGGCATATACTCGTCTCAGAACCACGTTGCCCATAGAATCATCGTGTTATTCCACATCGTAATGTACTCATTTGAATTATGGCAATAAATTACTACTGTTAATCAACAATGCTGGCGATGAATAATAATAATAGAAAGAAAAAAGAATACATTTACAGCTGTGAAAATACGGATGTTTGTTTGATGGTCGAGCGTACGGATGGAAAATATTGTTTCCAACATTTCAGAGCGAATGACCCATCAATAAGACATCATCATCATCGATTAGATTTGATTCCTATGAATGAGAATAGATCTATTTTTTGCTAAGAACAATCTTTCTTCTTTTGATCCGTTCACATTAAAATGCAAGCAAACACTCGAACAATGCCATTAAATTCAACAATGTTGCATGCATTCAAAGTACTTTACGTTTCATTGCATTCTTCTTAGCCATCGTAATCAACGCTTCACATTATTACTAAAGCAGGTTCGATTCCTGCTAGCGAGGGAAAATTTTGCTAGAAACCGAGTGGTGTACCACAGTCACTGATATTGCCAAGCCTATGATTTATATGGCTTGTATGTAATTAAAATGTTAAAAATTGCTAACCTTTAATGTCATCAACCCAAGTTTTGAGTAAAGATTGATTTTTTCCGTCTCTGATTTCCGTAAAACAATAAAAAATCCATTTGACCCTAAAATTGAAGTACTGTTAAAAAGTTACAACAGGGTGTAATATTAACAATTACTGAAATAATAAAATGAAATACCGTTGAAAGACAACGCCACAGCAGTGATATAGATAAGCCTGCGTATTGCCACAGCATCTTGATTCATATCTCGATATCTGATATCTATCTATAAAGAGGCAATACTACTGTCAGTAATACTCAGATTGCTTTTTATTAGTGGTCTGAAAGGAAGCCTAAAACGAATGCAGTTTCAAGAACTGATCGAATATTGAAACTTCGTTAGTAACGGTCATTATTACGCCCAAAACCATTTTTTCGGTGCAACATTCAATTTCAAAGAAAAGTTTTTCTTACGAGAATTCAACTGGTCACACTCTCAGCCGGGAAAAAACTTATTCAAAACCGAATTGTGTGTCATCGAATTCATTAATTTAAGTTGTCAAGTCTGAGTCAGCAACAAGTTTCTGTGTAATTGAAATGATCGATTTTTCGTAATAACCGATCAGATATAAATTCACTCGTAAAAATATACCTGACTAGGAAAATGATTGTAGAAATAATCAGATATATTTGGCGGCTCCCATCTGCCGATTTCTTCGCGCTGTAACTGCCACTAAAAATTCAAACATCAAATATATTGCTGAACTGCATGACAAAATATTTCATCTTGTATACATTCACTGAATAAATTTTCAAGTATGTAAGCGTTAATGTAACAATAATAATAGAATCAGATTCACCTTTTCTTCAGTAGTTTCTGCAGCTGAGCCGCTTTCCTTTTCCAACTCTATATACGTTTGATATTTTTCACGCATTTGCGGAATGTATTCTTTCCGAACCTGCCACAAGCAGAAACAAATTAAATTCAGTAATCATCTCCTTTATGCATACAATATTATTATACTAGTGATTACTGAAATAAATGAGTGAATACTTAACCTTTTCGGCAAAATTCTTAGCATCTAAAGCAGCACATACAATAGCAGTAATCGGTTTCGAACATGCATCGTCATTATCATTTTCAATCGCAACAAATGAAGTACGAGGTATTGCAAGCTTCACAAATGCACCAACTGTCCTGCAACTTATTACCACTCAACTCGTTTAATTCAATTCTCTAAATCAAAAAATATGTTTATCCGATTTACTTAAACGCTACGACAACACTAATTTATTCGTAAACTCATTGCGATTTCCCGAGTTCAATTCAGAACAGCACGTTCTCACAATGATAACTCTATGTTTGAACCATTAGAAGAGTAATCTGAGCCAACGCCCATCTTTGCAAACCACAACCTAACCAAGATAATTGTGCAGTCAACGTGGCTGCAAAAAGTATGGCTCAAAATTGTGCTCAGATTCAGAAGCAAGCTTAGGCTCTTATTAGAGTATACACTCATCGCTATGTAACAAACATATCTGAGTGAAAATACATGTCAGATTTTTAGGCTCCGTAAGAGTGTGAGCAAATACGGAAGTTTACTCTGACAGAAGGCACTAATCAGAGAGCAGAAACACGAAATTAACCGTCAACGTTTTGCAACTGCAGCAACATACTCACTAGTAGGTAATCACTTGGTGCCACGAACTAAAAAATGAAACTGAAATGAAGCAAAATCCATTCGTTAAATAAACCAAACAATATACTAACCCATCGAAGAGACGTTCTCCTTTCCTCTGATTCAACTGACTACTTTCCATACTAAAATTTTCTTCACTCGAACGACAAAAACTATATAATTCTTTCTGCAATGATTCACACATCACTTCAGTAAAAGAATCATTGAAACACATTATATGACGACTTTTACACCTTCATGTGCTCTCGTATCGAACTTAAAAACGCATGTGCTTACTGCAGTAGGGAATAAGCACATACCATTAGGTATCTGAGGCAGTTCGGAAAGGTTTATTGCTCTCAGTTTATTGCCTAACAGTACGAAGGAACTTGCGCATTTAACTATTTTTTGAAGCGAGATGTGCAACGGAAAAGGCAAGACACCATTAGTGTTCGTCGGGGAACGGACTCCCCGTCGGGAACTCCGGCGGGTAACGCGGAGAGCGCTCCCCCCCCCC